CAACAAATGCATGACCCTAGACGCATACCCAATCCCCAACTTGTGGGAACAGGTGCAGCAGGCCGCAGGACATAAGCACTACATATGTCTAGACTGTAACCAAGGGTCCAGACACATGTAGTGCTTATGTCCTGCGGCCTGCTGTACCTGTTCCCACAACGTGCCCTTGGAGGAGGAGAGTCAGCCTTTGGAACGCGGCTTCTGTCCAATAGTCCTTCAGCGATTCTCTTGCCGTTGGCGGTGATTTCGAACTCGGTAGCTGTTAGGTCGAACACTCCTTCCACTGTCATTAAGGCCAAACCCATCATTCGCAGAGGCATGTCAGGCTTCTGTGAGTGCTTAACCACTCGAGCACCCTCCCTAGATCCGGATGTGCGCCAGCCAAAATGAACATATTTTCATCTACCCTGTCAATCAGATTGGCCCACTTGTGGCCCGCCATGGCCTTAGGCCCGCCATGGCCTTAATCATGCGAATGATAGGAGGAGAGTCAGCCTTTAACGGCATTCGTGTCGAAAAAGGGCACATTCCAATACACCGTGGTTCCATTTGCTGTGAAGAACAGTCCAACCGTGTTCCAAATAATTATGGACCAAATCTTCGCCGGGATCATCGGCAACGGCGTCAGTGTGTATATTGACGGGATCGTCATATACGCAAACGACTTAGATGTGCTGTTCGGAAGACTGGAGCAAGTCCTCGACCGATGCTGCGCAGAAGGACTGAAGAAAGGTGAATATTTGAAGGATTGGGTGAAGATGGCTACCTAGTAAGCAATGATGGCATCAAATTACATCTCAGCAACGTGGAAGCATCTGAAGTATTCTACTTGGAAGACAACGTCGTGGCGAACTGGCTGAGTCGAACCGACCTACTGAAGGACGTAGACGAGGACTCTCTATGGGCATCTCCTGCAGGCCAGTACTTTACTGCGGGAAGGGTGAGGACGAAGGGTGGCTCTTGTTAACAGTTGACCATACCCGTTTGGGTGGATGATTCTGTCTAGCTAACAAAGCTCACTGAGCGCTGGAAATGGAACGGTTTACTGAACTGGGATGCCTTCAGATTCTCTTCCGACGAACGCACACATCTGTGGTAACGCCGAGCGCTTTCCCCGGTCGGCTGTTCTGGCTGCATCTGGGACGCTGAATTGGGGTTGGGGTTTGGGTTTGTGGCCGCTTAAAGAACCGCAACTCTACTACCGAAGGCGACCGACGGGTCGTAAACCCTGACGAGTCAACGCACTTCCGCGGCCCGCGTATCTTTCGGGCAGAGCGAGCCCGTGTTCCCAATGACCGCTCTTCCGGTGGCTTGTATCCATCCCACTATTTTCCCCTTTTGGTGGGGTTTACGACCGGTGCCTTCTTCTAACAACCAGTTGGTACATACGTCCACCGACAACGTCGTACGAACCCTTAGTACTTCAACCAATCGTAGATCAATGGCACGTCGTCATCTCGAACTTTATAACCGCGGGTTGGTCCCTCCCTCGCAGCTTTCTATTGTTTCCTGCTAATGTACTCAACTGCCGGGCGTTGTCGACAGACCTTCTGTGCGCTGGCATCTGCGCCGTCCCGTTTTTGTTGCACTGATTTCAGGATCCCTCTACCACCCCAGCCAGCACGCATTCTCACACCCGCAGTTGTCGTGGATCCCAGAAATCCAAAACTCGCGACAAGAAGGTTGTGGGCGGCTCCCGGCAGTACAAGGGTATTGTTTTAAAGCGTCTTGCACCTCTAATATCCGTTTGGATTCCAACGGTTGGTTACAAGTGGAGTTGTTTGCAGTTCCCGATGGGATCTCCACACTCACACCGCAAGCAAGCGGGGACACCCTGAGCCCACATCTATCCGACATGCTGAACCGAAGAGTGGAAGAAAAGAATAACTCCTTGGTTGGGGTATTCAAAAACAACGTTCGGTGGTCCAAGGTGAAAAAATGGCCGACAGATCTTCTATGCGAACATGCCAACGTCCACAGTCTGGAGCTGTTCTCGGTTTTCTTCCACCATCGCTCCTTCGGCTTCGCCTCCACCGACAAACTCTCCACCTCCGAGCGCGCTGGAGAACACACCAGACTGAACTCCAGCATACGCCGCAGCACCAAGCACCGCCACGCTCCCTCCCGCGGCGGCCAGACCAATGACGGTAGTATTCTGATCGCTCGGAGGCTCCACGGGAGCTGTGGTGTGAGGCACAGTCGGTTGGATAGAAATTGTGCGAGTGGATGTCGAAGGTGTGGTAGTCAGCTCTTCCGCGGCTGTGCTTGTAGTCAGCTCTGCTGTGGTCGCGCTGGTCGTGGTGTCACTGGCGGGGCTGCTTGTCTGTTCACTAGCGGGTATCGTGATCTGTTCATTGGTCTCAGAAGTTCCAGCAGGAGCGGTAGTCTGTGTGGGTTGTGTCTGAGGTCGGGTTCTTCGAGTGGTGGTAGTCTGCTCACCAGTGAGCGTGGTAGTCTTCTCCTCGACGGACGTTGTAGTCTGCTCACCTGTGGGCGTCTCCTCACGAGCGTGAGTGGTAGTTCGCGCGGTAGTGGTAGTCTGTGTGGGTTGTGTCTGAGGCCGGGTTCTACGGGTGGTGGTAGTCTGCTCACCAGCGGCCGTGGTAGTCTCGGGAGTTCCAGCAGTTGTTACAGCCGTCGTGGCAGTCTGCTCTCCACTGGGAGTGGTAGTCTCAAGAGTTACAGCAGGCGTGGTAGATAGCCCACGGGTAGTGGTAGTCTGTGTGGGTTGTGTCTGCGGCCGAGTCCTATGAGTGGTAGTCCCCTCAGGAGCGGGCGGCGTGGTAGTGGTCTGCTCAGGAGCGGGCGGCGAGGTAGTGGTAGTCTCTTCAGGAGCGGGCGGCGTGGTAGTGGTCTGCTCAGGAGCGGGCGGCGAGGTAGTGGTAGTCTCTTCAGGAGCGGGCTCCGAGGTAGTGGTCTGCTCAGGAGCGGGCGGCGAGGTAGTGGTGGTCCGCTCCGGAGCGGTCACCGTGGTAGTGGTGGTCTGCTCAGGAGCGGGGGTGGTGGTTTCAGGAGTTCCGGCGGTTGTAACAGCGGGCGTGGTAGTCTCTTCAGGAGCGGTCGGCGTGATAGTGGTGGTTTGCTCAGGACCGGGCGGCGTGGTAGTGGTGGTCTGCTCAGGAGCGGGAGTGGTGGTTTCAGAAGTTCCGGCGGTTGTTACAGCAGGCGTGGTAGTTTGCCCTCGGGTAGTGGTGTGTGGGTTGTGTCTGAGGCCGGGTTCTGCGAGTAGTGGTAGTGGTGGTCTGCTCAGAAGCGGGCGGCGAGGTAGTGGTCTGCTCAGGCGCGGGCGGCGAGGTAGTGGTCTGCTCAGGAGCTGGCACCGTGGTAGTGGTGGTCTGCTCAGGAGCGGGGGTCGT